GCTGCAGCCTATGTGCGTCCCGAACTGGTCCTGCTGCGTCCCGAACCCAAGTGCTTGAGTTTTTTTTTTTTTTAAATCCGGGTTGGATCGTGTTAACCCGGCAATCCGCGCGTGTCGGGTCTGGGTTGAAAAAGCCTACCTGTTTACAAAAACGGGTCAGGTTCGGTTGACCCAGTTAGAGTCAGGTCAATTCATGCTCGACCCAAACCCGACCCGCTGATCCGAATTGACACCCCTAGTTATATCTATTTTAAGATAAATATAAAACATAATAAATTCAAGTAAAATCGATGATTATAAAATATGAGAGTTTTTGTATTTAAATCCCCTTAAAGTAAGCTTGCTAATATTTTTATTTTTATTTTTTGCATTGAAAACCTTTTCTTTTCCTTACATTGTCCGCAGCCTATTCATTAAATTACAAAATTTATCTTAGTGACAATTTTATAAATATACACGTCTCTATTAATTATTTTAACCAATTCAATTAAGTTAACTTAGACCGAGATAGGATTTGTATAATACTGTAATATTCGTAACAGGAAAACATCATAATTTTTATATGAAAAAATCTGAAATTGAAACATAGGACATGACCTGCAAAGCCCTATATGGGGTCTTAGTAGGGTACCCATTGGGTACCCATGCTTTATTCGGACGGGCTTCGCCCACCCATGCCCACCCATGATAACTTTTGGGATGTCGTACCCACCTATACCCACCCACTTTTCATGTTTTTTGAATGCAGTCTACCATGGACTGATGGCCTTGAGGCTTGTTGTCATTTGCTCTGATTGTAAACTTTCAAGCTGCATATCAGAATTTATCGTAGTCGCATCGTGGTTAAGTGCTACATACTACGTAGTGAGGATTGAAGTAATATAAGATATACTGTGATTAACAATGCATATTGATTTATCCCCCGATTTTGAGTACTCACCCACAAGGTCATAGGCGTACCCATACCCACCCATACCCATTGGGTATGGGTGGGTACATGTATGAGTACCCAATGCAGCGCTCTGATGACCTAGTAGAAATAGTTACTATATAAGTAAAGTTATTGATATGCTATTTTTCTTAATTAGAAAAGATGTCATTGCAAAATGCAAAATATTAGATTGATCTCCTATGAGTGAGGTTTCATTTGGGATGATTTTTTTTACTGTTTCTTGAAGCAGTTTTTTAGTACAAAGTTTTAATTTTTACACTAAAAACTGCTTCAAGTAGCATTAAAAAAATCATTCCAAATGAAACATGAGTTGTAAACGCTAAAAAAGTTGTAGAGGTTGATGATGGCAAGACATATGATAGAAGTTGAATAATAATAGTTGGGAGATGATAGTTAGCCAAACGAAAATGGGTTGCAATGATCAAGTGATGGTGGTCAGATGAAGGGAGACAAACAACAATGGTCATGCGAAAGTGGTTGAACGACAATATTTGGACGACTCTGTTTGTTGAGCAACGATGGCTAGACAATATTGACTAACCAACAGTGATTGCAGACGATAGAGTCTGCATACGGTGATTATGTCAAATAGGATTGTAGAGATTTACGTTTTTTATTTTAAGCTTTCTCCAAACTCAAATCAAGATCTAAGCATCACTCCATGTAAATAATGTAGGTATATTTATAATTTATTAGAGTGACACTTTGAAAAATTTAGTAAAAAAATCTTAAAACTTTATATCAAATGACTCATAAAAAAATTACAAAAGGATATCGTAACATAAATTATGACAAGATAAACTTCAAATATGTTGAATTCATGTTGCGATTAGCTAAAATTTTAATTTAAAGTATTTTTTACTAAAAAAATATTTTAAAAAGCAAAAAAAAAAAAAAATCACAAACAAAGATCTTAGAGAGAAATTTTTATTCTGTGTAAAGTCTGGAGTATCTGGAGACCAATAAAAATACGTCATGTCACTTTAAAAATGTACCGCACTCGGTATCGAGCCGTTGGCTCAACGGCGCTCAGTACTGAGCACGTAACCGGATGGTTGTCCGCACAAAATAGTAGCTCCTTAGAGAGAGGAGTCATCAGTCATGACAAGTCGGTACAACAACAAATTCCTAACTGTGAGTCCGTGACCATCACCAACAGCCTTAGGACACTAATTTGAGCAAGTAGGTACTCGAATTTGACTGCTAAAATTTGACTGACTATAATTTTTATTTATTTAAAATTAGCTCCTATTTAAAATTTTTTGCTTAAATCATGATTATCTTCAGCTCATTTAGCTTCAAACATGATGACATTATTTTATTTATCTCAAATAATTAATAAATCTTTAAAAAATAAAAAAAAATTATATATATATATATATATATCAAGCTAATAACAAGTTGAGCGCAATCGAATCTCGACTCTTTAAGAGAAATAACTTAACATAATTGTTTAACATTAGCTCACTTAGGCTTCGTTTATGACAGTTTTCTTTTTTTTTTTTTTAAATCGTCTTAAAATTTGTGTACTAAAAAGTTATTTTAAATAGCAGTAAGAAAGTCATTCCAAACCAAGCCTTAGTGAATGAACAATTATGAGATTCTCAACCAACAAAAAAAAAAAAAAAAAAACTCTGGTTGTTTGCTAACAAAGAACTATGGACAAGATAGACAAGATAAACAAAATATCAATAGTGCAGAAATAGACCCCAAAGATTATAAATAATAATAATAATATTCTCCATCCAATTGCAACTTGAAGATGTAACGTATGTATGGGCCTTCATCTATACATTCAAGGTTGAGCATAAATTATGATAGCTAAGGGCATCTCCAACATAATATCATTCTACTGTATTCAGTTATGACGGGTGTCCACCCGAATGGTAAATGAAAACATATTTTTGTATTTTATCTTGATTGTGAACAGCACGTTGTCAATATTGATATTGCACTGTTCAGAATCCCATTTTTAAAATATAGATGAGAAAGAATATACATAAATTTTGAAGTGTAAAATAGGGTTTTGGTTGGATATGCCTTTAAAGCCCTCAAAATTATAAATTACTTATAGACTAACCAATGGAGGTTAGCATAGACCAACTCCTTCCTATTTTTGTGGCATAGTAAGATGGAGGCTTTTGTCATCAAAGGAGATTTTATTTTTTATGTGATTATTTGAAGCTTATTATAATTAATTTTGGAGGTCATTTTTTCTTGAAATAAATCTCAATAATCTTATTTATTATTTTTTAAGCCTGTAAAATTAAACTCACTCATCACATTAATATGAATGAATGAGAGAGAAAGAGGAGAAAGAGATTTCTTACAATCTTGTAGCTGAATCATGGCTTACACTATGCATGTTGGAGGATGTAGACACAAGCTAAGCAGTACAACAGGGTGGTTGTGTACCTTCAGTGGTCGCCATGATAGAAGAAAAAAATGAATCTCTCACTCTCAATTGTGCTTGCAAATGCCATCTGTACTATATATATTATAGAAATTTAGGGCAGCAGCCACCGCTGTTTGTTTGGGTGGTGAAGAACCGGCTAGACAAAGTCTAGGTCTCTAATTCGAATCCCTTGGTAAGTAGTGAAAGTCTTAAGTGTTCGCCCATATAAATTGATGTGGGTTACATGCTAGTTCGACCGGAATTTACACTGGCCTAAACACAGTGTTTCCTCGTCACGAAAAAAAAAAAAAGAGATGCCACATTATGAATGGTCATGAACCTGTCTGCAATTTGCACTGTAATAAGCAGTAAATCACTGTATTTCCCTATGTACTATGAGTCTATGCTAAGTGTAAAGCATATTTTTACAAATATTAAAAATGTTAACTTTCTAACATCAAATTATTACAATTGAAAACAATCTCTGTATTCATTAGGATTCAAAAGATAGTATGGTCTTTTTTTTTTTTAAATGTAATTAGCAGTGGTATCTATTCGAAGTTTGCATTAATCAACCTTGTGGTGGGCCTTGCGTAAGTGTTGTAAACAGCCCGTAAAGCTCTAGATGGTGCAGTGCATTGCCTAGAGAAATAATAAAATATTAGTTGAAATGCAGTTTTGTTTTCTTTGGGAAGGTGAGCCAAAGGACACTTAGGAATTAATTCGCTCAAATGTAGGAAAAATTATTCTATGCAAAAGCTGAATCCCGTCCGGATAACTAAGCCCATGGCTTGGTACCAAAGCCCGACACTGCTTGGTACTGAGGCTTGGTATCACTGCATGACTCATTCTAATTGGTATCCGAATATAGAACTGTGCTCGACATCCGCACGGAATAATCTCTCCAAATATAGGTCATGGAGGAGGAGAGATGGAACTCTATCAAATGCAAAGTAAAGGTGGTAAAGGTAGAGGAATGTTTTTAGTATCATGCATCTATAACTTTGAATCAACAAAAAATGTTAGACCGGTCCAATCGGTACACGCATGACCGGTCCAGTCGCAAACGAGGCTGAAGCCTCCTGCTTTAGTCGCACGCACCGCCTAAGCAAACAAAACATTTTAGGAAGCATTTTTTAGAGATTTGAGAGGGAAATTTTAATATAGGGACTGTTAGGGGTTTCCTTTTGATTTGTATGCATCAAATACTTTGTTTTCTTAAAATTAGGGCATCTTGAATTTAGCTGAAATATGAGATCTCCTAGATTTATATTTTTCTTTGAGCTCTAGCAGCGTCTAGAGATTTGGGAGAGATCGATCTTCCTCTCAAATAAATGATCAATTGCATCTTGCTATTTTCTGTTTCCTTTTCATCATATAATACAAATTATCTACTATTTTCATGATTTTGTGCGATTTTTTGTGAAGAATTCTCACTGTTTTTCAAAGATTGATAGGAAATACTTAGATCTCAAAAAATGTACTAAACATCCCTGCTCTGACTTTCTTTTCTCCAGAGATACATGTAAGCATTTCATAGCGAAAAATTGTCCAGTGAGATTGTAGTTACTACCACTGCATGGACCGTCCTGTCAACGTCAATAGTAAAACCAAAGGACCAATTGTTAAGAAATTAGACAGAATAAAGATTAATAACTAAAAAAACAAATCATTGAATTAACTATTAATGTTATAGGAAAATAAGTATCCTAAAAGCACTTATGTACATATATCTGACAAACGGCATGGAGTTATTTTCAAAATTTCCAAAACTTTTGCCGAAGCGACCAAATCATCATTCAGATTTGTCGCACCAGCAGAGGTACGATAGAACCATATTTTACAAGTTACAAAGATCAAGTTCCTAAATAGATACCGTATAATTCTATTAGTTTCAGGTTCAAACAAATGACCAGTTGACGAACATGAAGGCAAGGCAATGGTGAGAGCTGCATTCATCAAGGACTTTCCATGCCATAGCCTGTTCGTAAGAAGCCGGCCGGCCCATGCTAGAAATGCAGACGCCTGCAGGAAGATGAGCAAACCCCTGGAAAGAATGCAAGTGAAAAGAAGAATGATATGAACTTTCTTTGAAAATTTACGCTTTATTGAGGCAACTTAATTTTTCCGAGATTTAATTTTTAGACTACTACAGGCAAAATTTTAAAAAGAACAGCTATTACTATTAAATTAGCAGAGGAAATATAATTTAAAAAGATAAAAAATGCCTAATGTAGAAAACGCCTAATCATTAGGCATCTTCTGTGTATATATAGATACTACGTTACTAGAATTATATTAGTTTATTACTATCATAAATTTATTTGGAATAACAATAATAATTATAATAGTAAGCTACTACGAATAATAGTAATATAATAATCATAATAGTAAGCTAATATGAATAGTAACAGATGAATAATAATAATGATTTTAAAATATAATAATAATAATAATGCATAAATAATAATAAAAATAACAATGATAATAATAAACTAATAATAATAATAGCAATGTATATAATTTACCTTCATTTATAACTAAAATTTTGAGGAATAAGAAAATAAATGTAAAAATAGTTTCTATATATATATAATGCCTGATCATTGGGCGTTTTTAAGAAAATACCTCATTTTTAATCTTTTTAATTTTTTAAAATTTCAACACTACTAAAACACTTTGTATGGCTACAACTTTCTTGCCAATTTTTTAGAAACTTGTATTTTGATAACCAAATAAGTTAAAAAGTAACAACAATAAAAAATTTATTCTCCGACAAATTTCAAAAGAGAAGAAAACCTATAATAACAAAAGTATTTTTCAAAAAAACATGCGACAGTTCTACAACTACTTCTATAAATAGCAGCAGTTTCCCAAACAAAGTCTTAAACATTCACATACCTGTTGCATCAACTTAGGAAACTCAGATGAGAGGACCTTGCGACCAGCATCATCGAGCAAATTCTCAAGTGTGATGTCTTGTAGAGCAACTAGCGTGGTCTCAAGCATGTCAAGACCAGCTTGATTTGCGAAGGTTAAAGATGGAGAAACCTAAGAACAGTAAAAATGTATCTTGTCAAAAAGAGCTTCAATGTGCAAAGCACAAAAGAATGCATCTTGTAAGTTATAGAAACTTGAATGTAAATCAAAAACATGCCTTAAGAGAACAGCACATGATTGCATCGGAGTAGTGCCACAGAAGTTTCAGCAGAGAATCAGCACATTGAGAGTCGGTCTTCATAAGGTCAAGTCCAGTGTAGAACCTGAAGAACAGAAGAAGCAGGCATGGAACACGTTTTCACGAAGGTCCTCAGATAAAAAACAAAAGCATAATGATCTACAATAATGCTGCCAATGTAAAACTAGAAAAAAAAAACAAAGTTTTCACCCAGGAGCAAAGACGAGGAAAATAATGAAATGGGTACAATGATAAAAATATACAAGGGAAAAAAAAACAAAATTTATAGATTCACGCACTTCCATGAATTCACGGAGAGATATTCCACAGTATCAATTACAAGTACAGGATATTTATTCCCAACATGTTTCATCATTCCCTCACTCCCCCGTCAGTCCCATTCTTTATCTAACTTTCCTCTCAACAAACAACAAAAATCTGGCTCAAGAAAGAATACAACAGAAAACAAGATATAAAATAATACTATATTATTATTATTATTACGTATTGCATTAATAAAACCCATTTTTGTTTCCTTCTTCCCTTCCGGCACCTGCACTCTTCATTGGCTATAAAGAACGGCAGCCAACTGCCAATCCCCACCAGTCTTCCAAGAGCTTAGCATTGATCATCTCGACAGACCCACCAATAACCTCATCGCTGACTCTCATTGGCATGCCACTCGGATGTTGAACCTCCTTGTTGCCCACCACCACAATGTTGTACACTCAACCAAACCTCGAGTCTAATGGTCCTTGAGGTTAGTCTCCACTTCCTCCGATAATTGGCCACCACACCTGAGCAAGTAGCTCCCTTGCAAGCCCCCATCCCTGCCAATGATTTTGAGAGCTCCCCCCTAGCTCCTTCGCAAGGAAGTCGAATCATCTCCATGAACCTACTTGACGCCCACTATTAGACCAGTCAAACTGGCCCTTGGCAAGGGGCCGATTCAGTGCTAAAAAAGGCGGACCAAAGCTGGTCATAGGGCATTGGCACATGCTTTAAATAGGAGAAAAACAGGAGGATGAGGGTTATGCAAATTATTGTGGTTGCTTTCTTTCTTGGAGTTTGGTGACTTGGGCTCTAGCGGCATCTATGAAGTGGGAGAGAGAAGCTCCTCTCGAATTGAGGATCACTTGTATCTTGCTATTTTCTTCCGTTATTTTGATTATCTAATAAAAACTACTGTTTTTCTGATTTTTTCTTTGGATTTGTGGATTGTTCTCACTGCTTTTGTCAAGATTGTTAGGGTTTACTTGTGAACTCCAAGTATTTCCTAACACCCACCTGGAATCGCAAAACCGAACGAGCGAGCCGTTTTGATCGTGTAAAGATGAAGAAGACGAAGTTGAAGCGTCATTTCAAGCAAAGGGTTTCGTACCTATATAAGAGGCCGAGTGATATCAAATAATGAGTAGAATAGAGAGCATAAATTCAAATGAAATTTTTATCCATAAATTAAGCTATTATTAATTTAACTATCTATAGAAAAATGGGAGTATTAATTTAAGAGATATTAAATTATAATTTTTTTATAACAAGGAGAATAGATTTTATCATTTATTTAATTATTTTAGAAATAAATTAATTATAAGAGTAATTTAAGTATATTCAATAGCTAGTTAGAGAAAGATATTTGTATTAAAGATTTTTTTATTTTTGATATAATGTATTTAAATTATAGGAGAATATTTAAAATATTAAAAGTAAAGAATATTTGAGTTAGAGATAAATTAATAATAAATGGATGAAAGATATTTTTTTATATAAAATAAGAGTATATTTAATTAGTTAATTAAAGAGGGAAGTAATTCAATATATAAATTTTATTAATAATCATTAAATTATGATTTTTTCATATTTAAATGATAAAGTGAAGAGAATAATTTTATCATTTAAAAATAAGAAGTATTTAAGTATATTTAACAATTAATTATAGAGAAATATGATTAGATATATAAGTTAAAATAACTTTATGAAATTATGTATGATAGGAGTCATATTATTGAAATTAGAACAAGGACAAAAAAAAAACAAAAGCTATTTAAAATCAATGTGGGTACTCATGTCCTAATGTACAGTAATGATATTTGCTTCTCCTACATATGATGCATCAAGACTTGTTATTATTTAATTATTTACTATTAATGCTCTATAAATTACCTTTACTAAAGGCAATTAACCATGCTGAACTAGAATCCATAAATTTTATATCATAATGATGTCAATTTTTCTATGTTATGATGCTTACTCTATCAATATGAAATGATACATAAAATGTTAATGAAAAGATTTATGTATAATATTTGCACGTGTGTGATTAATTAATGGAGCACACCCTATATGATACTGATTGGGGAAGCAATGTACCTATGAACGAAAATAAATAAAAAAAGGAAATGGAAAAAGTGTACATTCATTGATATTATTTTAGAAGTTGTCTAATGTGACAATTGTATTATTTACAATAAAGGATAAATATATAAAATATGCATAACATTGATGGATATGTTAAAATAATTTTTAATTAGAATTACCTTATATTTTGAAATAAGCATGCATATTATTCTCATTGCCTTGTGTTGGGGTAATTTAAAAACATGATGTGTTCACTGAGTTCTTTTATGACTCACTCCTATGCTTATAAATGAATAAAAGTATTATTCAAAAGCTTAAAATGAGTAGAAGAGGAAAATATATATATCACAGGCGTAACACTCCGAGAGAAAATTATTTATAATATTTGATTTTAAAATTTTGAGGTTTTAGTGGTTATTTCAATGCATTGAAAATAGTTACTAATTAAAATTTTAATCAATCGTCCGACATTATGTTTTTGCCTCATTAACTCAAGCCTCCAAGCCAAATCGTGACGGTATAGCTTTCACCTCAGCCAAGTCACTTGAGAAGATGTCTCTTGCAAGTCTTGGTCACAAGAAACTCCAAGTTTCCCTTGATTTTCCTTTAGCTAACTAAGTGGGTGCCAATGGCCTTAAATCACATGCCAATATATAGGACATTTTTTGCAATAAAAGAATGTAGAATTATGAAACAAAATAATAGCTGAGATTTCTCTGTGTGATTAAAACTAAGAACTCTAAATTGAATCACATAATAAGAAGAAACATATTAATGAAGAATCAAACAAATAATGAGGAAATATATCTACATATCAACTTAATAATCTCCCCATTTAAGATTAATTTATGTTCTAAAATCAAGAGAGAGGAATCATCTTTTGTGTGACATAACCTCCACATCCATAGATGCTGAATGAAGAATTGTAGTACTTCAATTCCTAAGTGACAAAACTACCAACTTTTACCACACGCTGTCTTACAATTCTACTGCTCATTGATCATAAAATATCATTTGTTTGCAACGCTGTTTTATGATTTGGAAGCTCTCACTTAATAGAAATTATATCCTGCATTGGTCCTCAAGAATAACCATCAATAAATTTCAAAATGGCTCACATTATTTCACTTTTTGTCATGTACATGATACCAGTCAGGTTTTCATGTGTTATAGTTAAGACCATCCTCTCTCTCTAATCCTTGGCGGCACATAATGAAGCAGGCAAAGGGATTTGAATTTTCATATGCAAGAGAAAAAGGTTTAAATCAAAGAATGGATCCATAATGGGTACAAAGCAATTTTAACAAAACTCATTGCATGTTCAGCCACTATTAATTTTTGCTTCCATGTGCAATCACCCTATCACTTTTAGTCGCCTTCCAAAAACAATCACATAAAGTTGACATGTAACCTTCTTTACCTAGCTATCCAATCTAACTCGAGCTCCTCTTCAAATCAAGAACAAGCCTCACATTATGAAGTTCATGCATAACCCCATTACCAATGTTAACTTGCACAACAACTCCCATTAGATAAATATTCCTACAATCTTCTGGGGAATACTAGCCATAAACTAATCATGTAGACTTGAAAAGACATACATAAGCGCAAAATAAATCTCTTTAAGTGCGGCATTCACAGATTCCTTCATATCTTTTGAACAATCTCCACCATCCATGTGAATAACTCCTTTCAATTTAGCCAATCTTGCGACATTGCCAAGACGCTCTATTATGACATTTTGATCGACTTTTTGCTATAATTTGGATCTGCCTTTTTTGTTGCTTTTCCTTCCACCTCTCCGTCTACTCTAAAGATTCAGGGTAGAAAAAAAAAATTTGTCAACTGATTCTCTTCACCTAATGTCAGCACCCAAGGTCGGTCACATATATCATTCATTTTCAGCTTTGAAGACCCACATAAATTTTAACTGTTGTCACAATTCCAACCAAGCATTCTGTAAGTAATCATACCAAGCTCAAAGTACAAACTTCATCGCTAAAGTTGGTATTTATCTAGCTCAGCTAACTAGTGATCAGATTGAACTCATAGATAAGCACTAATGCAAAAGTTCCTTTTCAATGCAAATAGTATTGTCAAATTGCCAACTGCTCTATAATGACCTTAGATTGACTCTTTATTTGTGTGGGTTGAATTTGTCTTTGTTGTTACTTTTCATTGCACCTCTCCAGCTTTACTCTCAAAATTTAGAGCAATAAAAGAAAATTTATCTGACTAATTCTCTTCACCTAATGTCTTCACTCGAGACCGGCCACAAAAATTATTGAGCTTTAGCCTTAGAAACTCACATAAATTGTTTACCATCGTTACAGGATCCAACCTAGCATTCTAGAAGTGGTTTTGCCAAGCTCAAACCATGGACTTCATCATTTAAGCATTATCCATTGAGCTCAACTAACTAGTCATCAAATTGAAATCCTTGATATGCACTGCTGCATGAGTGCCTTCAACCATCCTAAAATTAAAAAACACTCATTACATGGACATTGTTTACCACTAAGCACTTCTCATATGCATATGACATAGTTTGTATTAAGCTTGCTATGGATTTTTCCCGGTGGTTTCTCCCAATGCAAGCGTGTCAATGGCCCTTTGGAGCTTATTGCTAGTCACCTGCAGCTAGCCCATCAAGGCTCGGTCACTTGCTACTCTCCCCCGTCAGTCAAGATTGCCAGTAGCTTTCAAGGCTCGTAGAAAAACATAACAAACTCTTTAATAAAGCTAACTTTCCCAGCCAACCACAAGGATGTTGAACCTACTTGCCAGTTGCCACACAACAAAATGATGTTGAACACCCGTCAGCCAAAACTTACATATAATGGTCTTTAAGTTAGTCTCCACTTCCTCCGGTAGCTAGCCACCACATCTTCTGCGTAATTTATATCCCTCGTCAGCCTCAGCTGCTATAAATGACCTCGAGAACACCCCACCAGAGATCAGAACCAAGATCCTCACCAAGCAAAAATAACTAAAACTTGTAGATCACCATTCACCAATCTTAAATAATGCACTAAAGAAGATGTATCATGTAAATCATCGTCAGAGGATTCCAAAAATTTGACAAAAGAGATTACCTGTAACTGCTAGAAATCCATCTTGCCAGTGTATGAGCTTCAGGAGACCCAAGTGGATGTTTCATACCTAGCTCTATGCCGAGCCTTGAGTTAGTGATTGCCATTGCAACTCTTTGCACCGAAGCCACTATGCTTCTGATATATTGCCGAGCCATTGCCACAACACTTTCTTGGAGGTGATTTTCAAATATGAACTGAAATGCTATTGTCAGAACCGACCTCATATCACTAGTAGTCGTGTCACTGGCAATCCTACTTGCTCCACCTGAGCCAACCTCTAAAGTCGAGGCCAAGTCAAGAGTTTTTGTGGCAGCAGTTGAATCCTGGAGAACAAAGAATATAATGGCGATAAGCTGAATTAAAAAAGAAACAAAAAGTTCAAAAAGTTCAAAATTTTCAATAAAGCATTTTTAAAACACCATAACAACTGGGTGGCCCAGAAGTCTACAACGGAAAAATAGAAGGGAAGATGCAAGGATTTAAACCACATTCAATTTCCTAATTTGGTTAATGCTGGAATTTATCAAAATAAACTCAAAAATTAATAAAAAATACTTTAGAACATTTCATAGAACATGTGTAAACAACTAGAGTGTGTATGTATAAAATTAAGCTATATGACAAGACCTGATTGAGAATTACATAATAAATTTCATTACACAACAAAAAAATGCATACTACTCAACTGCTTTGACATCAAGTGGTATCACTCGAAATCCTGAAGGTAACAAGGGGGCATCATCAGCAAAAGATGGGTCTGTAGGTGAAAAAATAAGCTGTGCACAAGCACCAACCGCATTCTCGTCAATCCCTTCGCACAACTGCCAAAACAAAAGGGTAATGGTTCGAATATATTAAGCTTAAATATAATCAAATAGCCCTCAATTAAAAAATGGCTAACCTGCAACAGATAAATGTCCCTGGAAAGAACATCATCCTGGTTTAAAGTTTGACTTTCCAGCCTAATCACTTCTAAGAACTGCAAACCAAACGAGAAAGAAATAGTTTACACGGAATACATAAGGCATTAATAAATAAATCATGAAAAAGGAAAACATATAGTCAAGAATAATTACCTCTTCATTTTCCACAGTATGAGCAAGAGGTATAATGACATGGTTAGCCGCAAAACTACTGTTGTCGAAAAAACCAGGAAATGCATTCGGGCAACCTCTCAAAGATGCAGTTGAATAAGCATCAACAATAGAGTCCGCCCACTCCGATCTATGCTCCCTCAAAAAGCGAACAAGTAAAGCAGGTGGCACATTCTGCGACATGTCAATAGATCAAACATTACAAACTACACAAGATAAAACAATAGCCATTGTAGAAATTTACACCACAATTATAATTAGCCTTATCCCAATTATTGACAGCAGATTTTATGAATCCTAAACTAATTTATCTTGAGTGCTACATGAGATTTTAATTATATTTTGTGCAAGTTCTTTTGTCATTTTTCTAGTTGAGTTTTCTTTGGTCTTTCTTCTTTATTTCTTTTAAATTAGTCATATCAATTCAGGTTACTAAAGCATCTTTCAGCCATCCGCATACATGTTTAACTAGCTGTTTATTTTTCACAACTTTCTTAACACATCTTCAATAAGGTGCTACTCATACCAGTTATCCAATATTGCAATTCTTAAACCTAGCATTCCTAATATTAATTCACCAAAAACATCTAACTGAACTAAAATGTTGTAGGAGTATATTGTAGTAGAAAGTGTGATAACTCATAAACATATGAAAAAGTATTAAACCTGAAGTAGCATTGAAGCTTTTGCACACAAGATGCTACCACCCAAGGAAGAAAACTTAGCAGATCTGGAATGACTTCCAAATAGCTTGCTAGGAGATGAGTTAATATTTATAGTCACATCCTCCCCACCATCGTATCCCAGTAAAGACCAGCCATCATCAGAAAATCCATTAATAGCATCATTAAAACCCCTGCAATGCCATACGATGAGCTTCACGCTAACTTGAAACAACAATAATGGTCTATGGTTACATGGAGATGAGATAACTCGCCTGCTCAACCTCTGGCTGAAGGTTCTCAAAACAGCAGGTTGACGGCCCCCATCATAAGAAGCTTCACCACTAGTTTCATAACCAATCTGTCTAATATGGTGTAATGCCTGTGCAATTAATGAGAATATAATAGACCACTGTAAAATGTACATTAGAAGACAGTCCATTTAGTTTGAAACGTACTGCAATGGTCATCCTCTGAGCTAGCATTTGCGGCGACTCATACAATGGTCGGAGAACCTCAGGCACAGTTGAAGCCTAGGCAACAGCATTTATCAGCAATAATTTTCGCTGTGTTTAAAAAACAATAGATGTCAAGAGGAAACTCACATCCAAATCTACATGATCAACAATGTGAATCATTGCACCACCACCCTCACATGGTCGGATTAGATATCCACTGGGAAGCATCTCAGCTCTGATAAAATTAGAGTTAGTTGGCTCAGCCAGACCACCAGTTGAAGGAGTCAAAGACCTCTCACATATCTATGGAAACAATTTGCCAATTTTAAACCAAGAATGTCTCAATGCACCAACCAACAAGACCATAAACTACCAAAAAGAGTTTCTAAGTTAGGCTGTAAGAATCATTTAAAAGGGTATCATCATGTAGTTTAGCAATTATGGTATGAGATAATGAAAAAACAGATTCTACATGTGAAAATCCTATATCATCCTGCATTCAACCAGCAAGACCTCCGAGTATCTTGCAATAAGCACGTTTAATTAAAGGTTTTATTTGGGACAGTTTTTTGACAAATTTTGTGATAAGTAAATCAGTAAAAAAATGCAATTAGATGACAGCTTTTTAAAATTTTGCTTTTAAAAACTGTTTGTGTAAAAGTATATTGGAAACTGTGGTTGAAAAAAAAAGGCTTTTTAAACAAAGTATAAACTGCCTTCAATGAAGACTAAAATATCACCCCTCCATCATAGGACTAATAGAAGAAAAGAAATGTATTTAGTAGATTAAATCAACTCACCACAAGACTGCCATCTTCTAAAGATGTACTATATCTAAGCGTCCAAAAATCACGTGCCAAGGCCAAAGTAGTAGGCGCATATGTCTGATGACAAAAAGACTAAATAAATGAAAAATAACAAGGAATCACACAGGCAAAAGCTGGTCTCATGACATTCAAGATGCAAATTTAATAATCAAGTATAAATACCTGCATGTACAAAATTTCAATATTTCCACAATTTCCAGTAGGGAAAACTTTCAACACGTCAATGGATCGGCAATCACGATACCAACTTAGGCGATCCTTCAAGATATCCACAACCTACAAAATAAAAAAAACATAAATTGCAAAGCAAGATGAATGATGACAGAGAGAGTCTGATAAGCTCTATAATACCTTTTTGGGTTCTAAACTCACAAGCCCACAAGCTCGAGCTGCTAAGCCACTACAATTGCGGGAAATAGCAATGATTCCAATAGAATCCGGACCAGGCTGTTAAAAGAGTAGTTTGGGTTGAGAGAAACAAACTAACAATCATTTCAATGAATTTGGAGTGCAGAATACCTTCATCCCGACCATCTGAACCCAATCGATGGCAGTTCCAGTAGCTTTTTTCAGGAACTCTGCCAATGTTTCCTCAGCAATTGCAAGTAGACTGCAAATGAGTACGAAAGTAAAATAAAATAAATTAAAATAGCAGAGAAGAAGATGAAAACAAAACCACAAATAGCTGCCAATATAATACCTGTCTGAGTTGCTAGCATCCCTCAATGAAGGCTGAGATATTGGATTCTGTAGTTGACTACCTAAAATCATAGATTCACTAGCATCTGCGTTGGCCAAAGATGCCTGTCAAAAAGGGCACATACTTAGAACTTACTGGAAATCTTAAAAAATAAAAATTATATAAAACGAATGTTAAAAATAACTACACACTTTGTTAGAAATTGTTAATGTGCTAAAAAGATTCAGAAAAATAATCCTTTTCAACAGCCCTAAAGTAGAAAGAAATGAAACATGCAAACTTAAGAGGAAAAAAAAAAGCCAAATTCAAGATAAATTGGTTTGCCTAACCTAAAGGAAAATAAAAGCAATGGACCAATCAATAGTCAAACCCCAAACATATTCTGAGGATTAATCAATACAAAAGAAGGTGAATTCAAGTGAAGCATAAGAAGAAAACATAGAATAAGGGACTTTGAAGGGTGACTAAATGGAAAATGATGAGCAGGCATAAGGAACAATGAAATACAGTGTCCACTTACATTACGAAGTTGCTGGTGCATGTAGCTATTGTCATAAACTAGCTGTGAAACTTGCTTCTGCAACCGATCATTCTCCTCCATCAGAAGCTTGTTCATGGCCGTAAGCTTTCTGTTAACAGACTGCAGACTAGAAGCTTCCTTCCTTTGTTTTTCCCGACATCTAAAACGCACTCCAAAATTAATAAAAAAAACATTATGGGCTTGGCACTTCGAATGTGCTTTTAAACAAAACAATCACTAATCATTCGTAAATGAAACCACATCCTGAGCTTGACTACATCGCAAGAACGTGCAATACATGTTAGAAGTACATACGCAACAAGTGACAAACTAATATAAATATCAGAAAGTCTAGTAGTCAAAGGGCCATTGTAGAGCCAAAAAAGAGCATGAATCTCGTTTTCAGCCAAAAAAAATCGACAGATCCTTAATCCGCATTGGGGTTTCATTACAAATCTTTACCCGTAAACAAATGTACCAACCAACCTAAAGAGCATACAAATCACTACAAATGACAAAAAAACAACAACCACGGCTAAAGAGACAAAAAACAACAAGAACAAACAAGAAACAGATCTTTTCGCTAATGTCGACGTGATTTACCTGCGGTTCTGAAACCAAACTTTGATCTGCTTCGGTTCGATTTTGGAGAGTATGGGACACTCCCTGATGAGCTGCTGCCTCCTCAAGGAGCTCGGCTTCGGACATTCATTGTAAACCCTCTCAAGCGCCTCCACCTGCTCTGGAGTGTACCTCACGTACTTCCCCGAGTCCATTAGCGCTTTGCCTCCATCCTTGCCGCTAACCAACATCGCCATATCCAACCCTAACGGTACACCAAAGTGAGAGACGAAACCCTAGACTCTTGTTGCCGCACTTCCTTCACTCCTTTGGGCTATTGCACTGTCGCTGCAGAATCGAAACCAATCCACCCTTCCAGCATCACCAGCTCCGGGTTCCCACCGTCCCCGGCGCCTAAGAGTTATCGCCGAGAAACGTGAAGTCCACGCCCTCCGCGTTTTCCGATCAGAGGAGACAATAAATACTCAGAAAAGTGTGAAAGAGAAAGAAATCAGAAAGCTCGATCAATTCTGGGCTGATGAGTGAGGGAAATGACGAAAGCCAACTAACTTATATAAGATTTCACACATATTATTATTATTATTTCGTGCCGTGGATAGATTGGAAAATTAAATTAAGATTTATTTGGGACAGTAGGGTATTTTATAAAATTGATTTTAAAACTATTATAAAGAGAATAATTTATTATTATAATTATAGAAAATAATATAATATTATAAAAATTATAAAAATTTAAAAAATAATAATCAAATAAAATTATGATTATTAGTCAAAAAATTATTCCAAACAAACTCTTAATTAGCACATTTTTAATATTGAAATATCATGTATTACATTTAAGTACAATTTTATTACAAAATTTAAAAAAAGTTATAAACAAGATTGAAATTTCATGTATTTAAACAATTATTAAATTCATATAATTATAAGATAAAATTAAATTGCTAGAATTTTGATGAAAGAAAAAATTATGGATTAGAAATTTATTGTGATTTTTTATAGTTGAATGTGATTTTAATTATTATAAATATTAATATGTTAATCTTAAAAAATAATCAATATTTAAAGTTATTTAAAAAAACTAGCGGATAATAAATGATATATAATGAGCTAAATTGAACTTACTAAAAACACTAATATTGTTTACATCTTCTCTAAGGTTGTCTATTAGAAAGATATTTTAAGAAGCAGAAAAAAAAAATTTATCCCAAATAAAACTTTATAGTCAAAATAATAATACCAAATTCATCCAATTTTACAAACAATTGAACTTGCATGAAATGAATCCGTCAAGACCATTTTAAGGTAATCTGATTATTTGTTTCCATGTTTTTTTTTTTTTAATATTTGTACATCCTACACAAGTCACAACTCAAATTGGTCTAATGGTTGGGACATTTGGTTACTAATCAAGAGGTATTGGGTTCGAGTCTTGTGTATGTGATGTGTGTGTCAATTTGCCTTAATTGAGTTCGAGTCTTGAGTATGTGATGTGTGTGTCAATTTGCCTTAATTGACCTAGATATAAAATAAATAAAACAAAAAAATGTACACAAGATAATTGGTGTCTCTCAGACCTTATTGGAACCATTTGACCAATCAGGAGCCTCGAATTACAAATTGGAGTGCCTAATCTTCAATTATTCTTTCGATTATATATAAATTTCACATATTTATATGGCTCTTATATATCTCCATTTTATGAGACAATTATGGTATCAGATTGATTTTAGAAGACAAACATTCTAACATGAAAATGGTGGCCAATCTTCATCATTTTTATGGCATTAAATTTGACATGTGAGCTTTCTAAGATAAGATTTATCATGATTTTGATCTTCAACTCCATTATAAATAGTACATTTCATTTGTTGCTCATAAATATATCTCAACAATGACATTTTTTGTCGAGTCACCATCACTAGCCCATGTAACTAGCATGGGTCAAATTCGGCCTAAACCAATTCAACAAACTAGCCTAAGAGTGAGATTATGATTTTATCCTTCTAATTAATGGAAGTAATGATTTAGGTCATCCACGGTTGGGAAATTTATCACGTGAGGTGTTCGGATACGTCTAGAGGCCAATTTGAACGTGCCACGTTACCCAATATACAATGTGTTGAGTGACTGATGCATCCGGACGCATCCGGACTGCGCACGTAATAATCACTCCCAAGAATGACATGATTATTAATGATTCCCTTCAAAATATCGATATACTCATCTCCATATTTATAAATAGTCATGAGCTATATACATTTTAACATCTAATAGAGACAAACCTCTTTGATTAACTTGCAATGATTCTATGTATTTTTAGATCAATCCCATGTCATTATTTTCTACATCATTCAATTCCCCGTTTTTTTATGAAAGAGATTAGCCTCCTATATTCTCTCTATTATTTAATCCTCCCCTTTCATAAGAATGACTGACCCTACAACCTACAATCACCTAATTACAATATAAATTAATTTGATTCTTTGCTCTTTTTGAAATGAGATAGTTTCATTATCATTGTTAACTCCATCTACATTAATATATATGAATTTGCTTTACCCTAAACTACTATTACATGGCATTATTTGGAATGATTTTCAAACTTTCTGAAGATAATGATATTACGTTTGTGATTTTTTAGTACTATTTAATCGTTAATATCTTATTGCTTCTGAAAACAACTTTTTCGTACAAAATTTTAAATTATTGTACTAGAAAGCTGCTTTAAGAAGCAATAAGAAAACCGTCCCAAGCAAAACTATAATATTAAAAATATATTTTTAGCTTTCTATATAAACAACCTCTACTTAATAATTTTGAAAAATTATTATTAATTAAATATTTATTGCAAGTTATTCTCCGAATCTTCATCTTCTCTTCTTTTTAGATAAATTTCTATTGTCTCTCCTGCTCTCATATCAAGTTACATATTTCAATATTAGATCATTTTCCCTTTTACAAATGAGTAGATAAGATTCGAACACTCACACAACTCATCTTCATCTATTGGTTCAGAACTTTGACAATCATCTAAGACTTTGTTTTGGATGTTTTTTTTTTTTTGCTTCTTTTTAAAACAGCTCTATAGTACATGAATTTTTTAATTAGAAATTCTGCATTAGAAAACAGTAAGAAAACTATGACAAACGAAGTTTAAGAGATATTAGATTCGAATCTTACGAATAAAATGAATACATAAACTTGCCTTAATCACCTAAAAGTATTAAAAAAAAAAAAAAAAAAAAAACCCCCC